TACAATGCCAAAAGAATTGCATAAGCACGATTCCTGACTCTCATGAATGTAACCAGGGTGGTTATGCCCCAGAACTGAATAATAATTAAAAGTTAGATATTGGCAGCTTCAGGCTTGTTTTTCCCCAGGAGCCCAAGGGGTAAGCTTTAGAAGGCAAACTTCACAACAGCCACTTCATTACAGAAAGAACATGCATCTGATCCCCAGAAAGGCACTCAAAACTAACATCTCTGTGGCGATGCAAGCGTGGCCCACATGAAGAGAGGATACGGTTTCATGCTGCCAACCATAAGGATTCCCAACATGAGTTTACAAAATAGATTTCATTTGGGACACTTTCATCCATCTTTCTCGCTGTGCCTGTACAGTAAAGGTGTTCAACTCTCCGAATACCCCTATGTGACCTTAACAAAAACTGTACTCGTCCCAGGGAGCTGAAGCAGAGGAGGAGGAAGTTCTGGGAGAAGTTTCTAGGCAGAAGACAACAACTTTGATGGTATCCCAGCTGGATGGGGCTGATGTGATCCAGTGCCTCTTGGCTTCAGCATCCTCTGCGGACATTCTTCTGCCCAGAGCTGGGGATTCAGGTTATCTGTCACCCCAACAGCAAAGCCTTTCTATCAAACATGTGGCATCACCTCAGTTTAGCAGCTCACAAACCATTATGTTTGCCATCATTTACATTTCCATCATTTACATTTCCATCATTTGCATTTCCCATCTTTTTCCCCTGCAACCATGAGGGCTAGAAATATTTTTTATAAATGAAATTTGAGAACTGCAAATCAATATGCCTCTAGTTGTTGAGGCTTTCATACTTGTATTATCTTAGTAGCTACTGTACTCACCAAGTATCAAAAGTAATGATACTCTGCAATATATTAAGGAGTCCTCTGGAGATGAAAGGCTCAGGATCTGATGATTTTTGTTCATGCGCCATGGCATGTCAAAGAACAAAGTGAGCCTGGTAGGGATTTACAGAGATTAAAAGTACACGCAGACATGTACACACAGAAATCACTATGGAAAATGTGCTGCCTAACTCTGCATGAGTGAACCCAACAGCTCAGGCACCTTGCAAAGCTCCATTGGGAAGAGGGAAGAACTGCAAGGGACATTCCTGGGTGTCCACTCGCTGTAAGCCTGGGCAGAGGTGAGAGGCTGTGCTTGGCTCCCGGAGCCACGGCGAGAAGAAGGGCAGCAGCACCGAGCTTGGCCGGAAACATTCCCGGTTGTGTCCCACAGCAAACAGCAATAAAACAAACTGCTAATGAGGATGCAACCTGACCCTCTGCAGAGTGCGTGCCCGAGGACTGCGGGGCTGTAGGGGAAGGGAGGGACTGTGTCCGGAGAAACTCCAAGCTCAAGGCGATTTTTTTAAAAGAGCAACCAAAAAAAAATGTTTGGGTACTTTGCTGGTAATAAAAGTTACTCACGAAGTAACAAAGAGCAAACAGTGCTTTGAAGGAACAAGAAGTCTGTTAAACAAAGAACTTAACTCTGCAGAAAGATCTCCTTTTTAACACTAATGTTAACATTTCATTTTTTGTAAGAAATCCCAGTGAATCTTCCCTTAAGACTCTTCACTCCAGACAGGACACTTCTCTTTTTTTTCCTTCTGTCTGCCGATGTACTCTCCTTTCCAGGAAAGAAACACATTTTTATTCACACTTTCTGCTTTTCTTCATTAGGCTGCTTATCACACTGTTACACAAACCATTCTCAGAGCTATTACAGCCTACGGACAAACATCTAGATTTTACTATTTTACAGCAGGAGATCAGCAGCTCCAGGAGACTGAAGAACCCATGAGCAAACACCTATGACAGCATTCACAACCTTGTATCTGGTTTTGTTTTGTTTTCATTTTAAATAACAAGGAAACAATCCAGAAGCCACTGCTAAGGGAGAAAAAGGAATGTATTCAATGTAGTGAAAGGCAACCTGTCATTCTGACACATTCTTGGTTTTCTGGAAGTCAAGTTAACAGTCATACTTGGCAAGGAAGATTTGATGGCATAAGGCACTTGGTTTGTGGAAGGATATCAGAGGTAGCTATTTTGATTAGAAGTGCAATTATAAACTTGGATAGCGCCCTGTAAAGAAACTGTGAGAGCCAAGAGTAATCCAGGATGTAAGAAGTTTGGGAACTGATGAACAAGGGAGAGGATCATAGAAATGTAAATGATCCTGGAATAATGCTAATCAAACCCAAAAGATTCTGCGAGCAGTTAATCATGGGCTTAAATTTAAGTATTGGAAATATTGCATTGAAGGTAATAGGCATGAGCACAGTCCTTTAACACCTTGGAATTCTGGATGTCTGTTTTCCCAAGTTTCTGGACACATACCACCACTAGTATTTCTGCTTTAAAAAGGAGCAAACACACAGGGATATCAAGGAACACACAATGGAGTAGTTGGGGAAGTTTACTGAGCAAACACGCCATGTCCTTTGGAACTGAGATGGGAACTGAGATCTTCTGACCTCTGAGCTGATGGGCTGAGCAGCATCTCTGCATGGTATGATCTCCTAATCCTTGCTGTGTATTCAGTGCACTTAGAGCCTGGCTGGTGTGACTGTGCCAGTCAGCCACAAAAGCAGTGAAAGGGAACAGGAAAGCAGGAGTGTGTCTCACCCGTACAAAAGTAAGTTGCTCCCCTTTGTTATTGTCCCTCTGAATAAATGGTACCTGAGAGAAATTTCCTTCTTGGGATTGTTCCTGGACTAGCAAATGCAATGTCACTTTCTGCAGCGGGTATTTAAGCCTTAATAAAGAACTGTAATGAAAATCAGGTCCAGGTGCTGAATGATAGTTCCACTATACAGAACATATTTTTCCTATTTCTTTTCTTGCTCAGATTTCACCTGTAAAACAGGAACACTAAGGCAGCTCCTCAATCTCAGCCTGTTAAATCCTCAATTCAGCTGCCATACTCACAAAGAAGATTTTCCAACAAAGGAATCGACAGCTTTCCATTGCAATTGCAACACCAGAGCATCCCAAAATGCATTTTCCTGTGACATTGTGCTCAACTGTTCCAGGTACATTAACGAGATGAGGTCTGTGACACATCACAACCCCAAAAGTTTCCCACCTAAGCCTAGGAATGGAATAAGCAATCCATCACACAGTGTGACACGTTCCCCAAAACACACACACACTCAAAACCTGAAAGTGGTGTCAGAATGTTTATTGAAGAGGGCAATCTGACTGGCTGAACCGACCTGGGTAGCCGGTAACTTTTAACATAAGCAAACAGAGATACTGTAAACCTGCTGTGCATGGAAACTGTGTTTATACTTAAATTGGACTTGGAAGACTGAAATAACTTACTAGAAAAATATAGCTTAAGTTCCCAGGAGCTCTGACTGACCTTGAGATCATTCTGAAAAAAACAGAAATATGTAGACATATACAGTGATGCAAACGGAGTTACACAAATATTTTCGAAGTCAGCTAATAAAATACATATCCTTGCCTATTTTTTTATGATAGCTTTGCAAACATACTTTTAAAACCACACTTTTCAGCCCCACCAAGCATTTTTTTTGCCACTTGCGTTATCAGAACGGATCGTAAGCATTCTGCAATGGAAGTGCTGCCTCATTTACTTCTTAGTGAGTTTTGTAATTGCTGGATCTATTCCTTTTAGATAGACTGCTGAAATTCTTATTACCACATGACAAGACAATAAACTTTCTTAGTGATGCAGTGGAAGACAAAAAAATGAAAAGATACAAGAAACTTCAGATTTTTCTCAGTGCGGCCAAATACATTGACAAAATATTTTGATTTATGTGGCACCTAAATTGCTGTACACAGGCACATCTGCATGGAAAATTATCACAAATCAGAGATATAACAACCACCGTAAATTGTGAGCTCTGTTGCTCATGAACCTAATTATTAGAAATTAATTATTAGGAATATTAAAGCACTCAGAGTAATGTAACCTAATGTTGCATAACTGTGATCAAACTTCTACAAAAACCAGGAAATTGCTAAATCTAATAGTGTTTTGCTTAAAAAATAATGACACAAAAGGAGAAGGGATAACTATTTTATAACTTGAAAACAGCCAAGGGATTCTAACCGATCTGCATTTATTTTTCTTACGTGGACTGGGTGCATGGCCACTACTGGAAGCTGACCCTGAAAAGGAAAGTTGGAGATGCATCAAAGGAGGGATTGCAGGTTATCCATGAATCGGTATTTGTACCTGCATTTTCCACACCATTCATCCAATCTCCACTTACCATGAAAGCACCATACATGCAGGCAGAAGGGACTGTGCTTTCCACAGCAAGGTGCTCATTCTGCAAAGCCTGATGATGCCCAGGAATGGGATAACCTGGGAGCTCGTGCATCTCATCAAGGCTTTGGAGGAGGCGGGTGGGCTTCAGTTCAGTGCCAGCATACCCCACAAATTTTGGTGTAAAGTGTGGGAATAACTGACCCTCTGACAAAATCCGCCAAGCTCCTGAGAAAACAGGATTGCAAATAGGTGTTTCTGGAGAATTATTCTACTCCATGACGGAGGTGGGTGGGGGCCAGTCTCCTCTTCCCTTCCTGCAGCGACAGAAAAAGAACAAATGGCCTTAAGATGAGAGAGGAGATTCAGAATAGATAGTAGAGACATTTTTTTCACTGTTATAATGGTCAGACATTGCAACGGGCTGCCATGGAGATGGTGGAGTCACCAGTTCAAGAGCTGCCTGGATCTGGCACTGGGCGACGTGCTTTACCGGTTTAAGGGTTACAGGGGCAGTGCTAGGTGGACACCTGAACCGGATGATCTTACAGGTCTCTTCCAACATTGGTGATTCTGTGGATAAAGGCAGCGAGGCTCCTGTGTCCCGGTTTCGGGGGTGAAACTCAGCTTTCGGTGAGAGGGAGGAGGGCAGAGGCCGGAGAGCGCCGCAGCCGCGTCCCGTCAGCTCCGGTGCCGCTCCCGGCCCGTCCGCCAGCGGCTGCGCGCGCCTCTCCCCTTCCTCCTCCTGCCGCGGCCGCTGCCCCCCCGGCAGGGATGGAGGCCATCGAGGAGCTGGCGGTCCAGCCCTGCACCTCCTCCCTCTACCTGCGGCCTTTCCGCCTCTCTTACCGGCAGGTGAGTGGCGCCGCCGGCCCGCCCGCCGTGCCCGTCCCCGCGGGGCCCCTCAGCCCCCGCCTGCGCCATTTTGGAGCAGCGCCGCTGCCACCTCATGGCGCCGCCCGCCCCGCTCCGCCCGCAGCACCCCGGGGCGGCCGCGCTGCCCCCCGCGTCCCTCGGCCCGCCCTCAGGAGGGGCTCGGGGACGGCAGCACAGGTGGCCCGACAGACCGTGGGGTCGGTGCCTGGGGCCGCTGCCTGTCGCCATGGGTGTCCCCTGTGCCTGCCCCCGCTGCGGGGCTGGGGCTGTCACTTTCACTCCCTGCTGGTGTTTGGGTTCACCTCTCGATGCGGGCCTTGCTTTGGTGTGGATTGTTCACATCTCGAACCCTTTGTTGACCAGACCTCGGCAGGCCGTCACTTTCATTCACGAATGTTTAGGGGTCTGGGACATCTCAGAACAGACACTGGGAGCTGTACTGCTCAGTCTAGGGAAGAGGAAACTGAGAGGAGCTCTCAGTAATGCATATAAACATCTCAAAGGTGGGTGCCAAGAGGATGGTCCCAGACCCTTTTCAGTGATGCCCAGTGACAGGATGAGGAGCCATAAACACAAGTTTCACTTTAACATAAGGAAAAACTTTACATTGAGGAGCAGGCTGCCCAGGGAGGTCATGGAGTCTCCCTCTCTGGAGACATTCCAGATCCATCTGGACTGACCTCTCTGTTACCTGCTCCAGGTGACCCTGCATTGAGAGGGGTTTTGGACCACCCTGTCTATTCTGTGATTCTGTGAATAGCATCAATGCCTGCAGGTGGAAAGCAGGGAAGGAAATCCTGTCCCTTATCATGTTTATATCAACATGCATCACCTTTCACAAGATCACTGAGAACTGGTACCTCCAACATTGGAAGGAATGCAAGCTTTGAAAGGCAAGTCACTTCTTCTCACAGCACAAAGCCTTGCATGTTCCTTGGAAGCTTTCCGTGGTCCTGGTTGTTGGCTGGTCCAGGGTGAGCTTTTACCCAAGCAGAGTGGTGGAAGGGGAAATGGAGAGTTTGGACAGCCCCAGAAATGCGTGGTTGAAAACACATCTCTCATTCCTTCTTTGCTTTGCTTCTAAACACATCAGTTGGAAAGGCAGGAGAGGAATGTATTGAGTCCAACAGTGAGATAAAGTACAGAAAATTAAAAGCAAGGGTTCAAATGGGTTTCATCAAAGCAGATGAGCTGATTTTTTAAGATTTTAACAAATATATTTTATACATGATTTTCCTAAAAAAAGCTCTTTGCTCATTGGTTGGGATAAATAAACCATTTTGATTCATGAACAGCTGACAGCTTTACACTGAATTATGTGTTTTAGGTATCAGAGGTAAACCTGAAAAACATTCTTTCATGTTCTGAATTTTTGCTGGCTTCACTTACAAGTGATAGGTCTTACTACTTAATTTCATTTTCATTTCTGAGTCATGCTCTATTTACATGAAAAACGGGATTTAATTAAAATGTTTGAAACAGTATTGCAAAATTACATTTAATTGAATAGATGTGCCTTAGATGTGATGAGTATTGTAAAGAAGAAATAAGGATATGTTTGGTTATGTGCTGTGAATTGACAGAGACCAGCATTGCCACTAAATCAAGTAGACTTGCCCTTGCTACTTCCACTCCTTGCACAAGTAGTGTCTGTGCAGCAACTGAGTGAGCTGGACCAGGGTCAAACCTAATCTAGCCAAAAAAAAAGAAGTCAATTTTAAGCTAAACAAGATCAGTGATTCAGTTCATTATGCTGGCAGAGGGGAGGTGGTAATGTGGTAGTTAGGGATGAGTGTTTGGGGCCTGCTGAGGGCAGAGATTGTTTCTCTTGGCTGCAGCACTGTCTTAAAATGAACTTGAAAATGTAGTTTCTATGACATCTGTACAGAGGCTGGCTTGGGTCCAACCTACTGAGAGCATGAGCTGAGTGTGAGCACAACTGTGTACCTGATCTGAGAAACAGGCCCTATGTTTATCGAAACATATTTTGCATTTAAAAATTACTTACTAACCAGAGGAAATACTAAATATTTTCAGTCATTTGACTAATTGTTTCAAAAGCATTTAGGTCTGCTGAAAACCCCATTAAACACTCAAGTGTCTAAAATCCAAGAGAGTTACATGCCTGTTCTGCTTAAGAATTCTTGAAAATTCCACCACTCCTCTAAAACTGACAATTGTTTCCAAAATCTAGCCCTTGATCTTAACGCTTTTATGCTGAGTAGGTCTTCCCTTGTCCAACTATTTTAATTCACTAGCTGGAAAAAGAAAATAAACTTGTCTTTTTCCCAGTTCCTAATTGTTGTGTCTTAAAGTAAGATTCATTTCCCCCTTCCATGAATTCCCTGCACTTGCTTGCTGAACTTGACCCAAATCTAACAAAAAAGTCTTTCTGGATAACAGAATAATCTAATGGGGAAAACTTGAATAATGGCATTTGTTGCACGGTGGAAACCAAAATTAGTATGGATACTTAAATTATGCAATATGTGGCATTATGCTGTAATTGGGAGGCTTGGGGTGGTCTTACAGGTACATTTTGTGAAGCTGTGACACATCCCCTATAATTCATTGTAGTCTGAAGAAGATTTATTAATGCATTTTTTGGTGTTTATATAATATTAATGAAGAATAATTGGGGCCTTGAAGACTGAGAATTTGAAACCTATTTTCAAAGAGGTATATTCCTAAAATAGTCATTGATGTTTAACATATATCTTCTGTCAAAGGGCATTCAGAGAGTGAGAGGTTTTTTTATTCATTTGTTTTCTTTCACAACTACTGGTTTTCTGTACAAATAGGTAATTGAAAGAATTTTTACATACAGTGTAGGATTTTGATTATTTCTAAGCGTTCATGAATGCTTAAGCAACAGCGTTGATTTCTAGACATTTCATATCAAAATTATGCTACTTGTGTGGAGATAATTTGAATCCTACTACTATATCTAATACAGCAAGGTCTTAAACATAAACTTTATTATTTTAAAGATAAATTTAGATAGATTATTTACATTTTAGTGTACCCTGCTAGTCTGATTTTATCCATTCAACCTACATTCCACTGAGTTGTAAACTACTGTTCTAGCAGCTGACAGACCACTCAAAATCTGTAAGACATCAGAAGAGGATCCATTTGGGGGCTGAAATCTAAACAAAATGCAGAGTAAATTAGCTCAGTTGGTCAAAGCACGGTGCTAATAACACCAAGGTCACAGGCTCAGTCCCTGCGTGGGCCATTCACTCGAGCTGGATCAGTGATCCTTGTGGGTCCCTTCCAACTCAGAATATTCTGTGATTCTGGAAATACTTTTGTAAACCCACACAGGTTACACATCTGAAGGAGGCTGCGGTCACACCTGATGAAGAGTGGAGCCACAGGCTCAGATCATTGTCTACCTGCTCTCAGAGGCATTTTACACATTTACAGTTGCAGGCCCAAGGATTGCATTAATGTTTTGGCCAGCTGAGTATTTTCCTTGGACATACAGATGCTCAGATTGGGAGCTGTGGACAAACTCAAGGACAGAGTTGTGTGTACGTAGAATCCAATCAGGCAATTACTGTCACGGTAGAGAGAACCTCAGCAGTGTCTTTGTAGGTTTGTGCTTGAGTCCCAAGTTCCCCTGTGTTTTAAGAGCTTGAGTCTTCCTTTAGACCATATTTGGTTACATATAGAAATACTCTTCTGAAAGACCGTGAGAAAAATGTCAGTTTCTGGCTCTTTCACTGAAGTGAGGATTGTAAGAAATCATGGCAGTTCCTGAAGTTATAGCAATTTATGCCTGTGGTGGATTCTGTTCTTCCCATAGAAGGTCCTGAGAGCTTTTCATATGAAGTGTTTCATCATCCTCTCCTTATGCCCATCTGTATTTTAAATGAAATCAATGAGCTCTGAATTTTTCCTGTAGAGCATAAAAGTAGGTGTTTACCCTTCTGAAAGACTTCCAGGTTTCAAACCTTGCAGATTCAGGCACCTTGCAGCTTTGTGTTGGGTATCCAAGTTGTGGAAAACAGCCTGGCTTGCTGGACAGATCACTGTACCAGTCACTCATTTAAATGATTAGTTCTGTCTTTGTGTAGTGTAAAGGTAGAAATGGAAGTGCAGCCAAGGAGTTGTGGAATTCAGCAAACTGCAATCAGATTTTGGTGAGGGCCAGTATAGAGGGGTAAAGTACAGATTAAGATTATAGTCTTCAAAATAGCTGTTTGACAGACCTTCAAAAGGGACCTCAGCTTTATTTGGGATTTTCAGCTGTCAGCCCTGCTCCAGGTGGGGCCCTTCATCAAATCAACCATGTTTGAAGTGATTAGCCTGGGGGTTGAGAGATGGACAAGGTATCTCACTCAGCCTGTGGAACATTCTCTTCATTTTGTCAGTAGGAACCCTGTGTTCCTATATATTTTGGTTCTGCTTGGTACTGAGTGAAGAAAATTGATTTTTCTCACATAGAGGATAGCATCTGTCTAGCTTTAATGTGTACTTGCCCCCAAAAAGTGCAAATTGACTTGTTATCTAAATTGGCTTTTTTTTTTAAACATACATCACCTCCTGAAGAATTGGCTTCTTTACCAAGAACTCCATGGTAAATCTCTTTTCACTTTTTCCTATTGAAGTTCTTCTGCTTTTCATAAATAATTTATTCAAGAGACCAGAGGGATGGCTAATGAGAGATTAACTCAATGCCCAAGGGCTAGGGCATTTCCCTGGGATGTGGTAGAGTCAGGCTGCAAGATCTCACTTCAATTAATATTGCTTCCCACATCACAGGAGAGTGTGCTCACTGCTGGGAAACACATTTGTGTGTAAATCTTCAGCTCTCTTTTGTGTATGCTCGGCAGGCACTACCCTATATATTGGACAAAAAAAAAAAAAAAAAGCCAAATTTAAGAACTCTGCTGAGACTCCAAGTCATGAAGTCGACGCTTGAGTAGCAGCAGTTAAGGAGAGTCGTTAGGATTTTGAGCAGCATTAAGTAT